AAAGACTCAATTGAAAAAATAGCATTATGTTTTCGGAAAAAAAATTGAATTTTTAATCATTTGAAAATGTATAACCCTACTGCGTCCTGACTATCAACCAATCTATTTCCAACCTAATTATCATCAAAAAAATCGATAAAAAACGCAATGGAAATGCGACTCGAAAGTTCAAGCGGTCGTCTTCGCTGAAAAAATACAAAGAGAAACAGTGCACACAATATATATATATATATATATATATATATATATATTAGCACCATAGCAGAACAGCAGAACTGCAGAAGATGAGTGAAAGGGAGAGAGAATGAATGTTGTGTACATAGATCATAGATAACGTGTAAAAATTAAGTGATTAAAAAAAATTTGTTTTTATCTAAATACTTGAAGTGATGTAAAAAAATCATTGTTGAAATGCCGGTACATGTATAGTGTTTAACAAGTTTGCCATTACTGGCAATAACATCCGCAGTTNAAAAAAAAAAAAAAAAAAAAAAAAAAACTATTCACAAAATAAACTAAAACAATGCCCTTTTGAAAAACAAGAAGACAAAAAACTGAGGAACTCAACACCTGACTGGCTAATTAAGCAGGTGAAAGACAAACGACCAGAAACAAATGTATATACGCGCACTCGATATCCAAGTTTGAAAAAGTGTGGGCGTATGTATTATACACATAATATTTATATACTGATCTAGTGGAGCCATACATGCATGTATGTACGCAACAGCGCTGGTTCGCCAACATTTGACAAACAATTATCATTTATTCAGATGTTTTTTTTTTTTCAAGCCATCAGTGTGGCAGTGCACCTCTCACGTACGCGTATACACACGCATGTACGTGCGACACTGGCACGCTACTTTTTTTCCAAACGCCCGAGCGGCCCTGTCCCCCTTTTTTTATTTCATTCCAGTTCCACCAGAATTCATTCGTAAATGAGATACGTACTTCACTTCTGCATTTTTTTTTTTTTTTTTTGTTTGAAGCTTTATAAAACAAAAAAGTTTCGGCATAGACGTTTGGTAAGTTTACAAAGAAGAGGCGTAGATAATGTATAAATACAATGCATTACATATGTATACAACAAAGTCGCAGAGAGTCGATCGATAAGTGTATAGAGCTGCTGTTGGTGTTGCTGCACATATGGTGTGTGTGCCCCGCTCGATGTGTCACGCGATTGAGAGTGAAAACGTTATACTATGTACGTGTGCAAGCATGGGCTTTTTTTTTTTTTTTTTTTTTTTTTTCACATAACTAAGTCTGGCGGTTGCCATTTCTATAAATTATAGGTTTTTGGACCTTTTTCGAATTTTATACAAAGATTAGGCATAAATACTCGACGGATTTTCAAACACTTGCGAATTAACATTTGTCTTCAGAAATGGTACGCTGTTTTTTTTTTTTTTAGAAAATTTTTTCACCAATACTACACAGCTTATAGCGGTACAGTCANTTTTTTTTTTTTTTTTTTTTTTTTTTTTTTTTTTTTGTGGAAATAACTAAGTCTGGCGGTAGCGATTTCAACAAAATATAGGTTTTTGGACCTTTTGCGAATTAAATACAAAGATTAGGCATAAATACTCGACGGATTTTCAAACACTTGCGAATTAACATTTGTCTTCAGAAATGGTACGCTGTTTTTTTTTTTTTTAGAAAATTTTTTCACCAATACTACACAGCTTATAGCGGTACAGTCAATCTCAAAGGTTAGTTTTAGTTGAAAAATTTTTCATCATGTCTACGATCATGCGAACAAATCACACATTTTAGTTTAAAAGAGTAAAAAGTACGCAAAAAAAATGAAGTAGGTATAACTGCTTTAAAACAAAAGGTATGCAAATTTCGTTCTTCTGGCTCGCACTGTACAAATACATGTGAGTAGCATCAAGTTTAAACTTTGAACTACAATATCATTCAAATGAAGTGGTTAAGCTATTTTAAATTTTGATGGGTCGCATTTTTGTATAATATCTGCAATAACATACGAGTTATCAAGTATTGCGTTATAAGAGGCAATGCGAAAATAAAAATTATCTTTTCAAATAATGAATTGTATTAAGAAAAAAAAAATTAATAAAATAAAATAAATAAGATATTATAAGGCATTTGGTTGAGTAATTGCACCTACTTTGGTCAAACTTGAGCCTACGATCAGTCACTCACAAGCTCAGTATGTTCAAAAAATTCTCGAAGAAAAAAAAAAAATCATCTATTTCCCAGAATAGTAAAGTTAAAAAAATGGGAGGGAATAGTAAATGTATGATACACTCCCACCCAAAGAGGCTATAAGTTAACAGCAGACTCGCATATTGGACGTTTTCGAGAGTCGAAAAAAGAGGGTAGGGATAACAAATGATTCCGTTTTTGGATGACTATATTATAGGCTAGAGTATAGTATAGTCTAGACACACTCAACTGGTGTACGTATGTGTGAGCGTGCGCGTGTATCGCTATAGTCGATGAAGCTTCAGTTCTGCAAGGTATTCGGTGGTACTTACCACACACCCACCTACATTCACAGAGAGAGAGAGAGAGAGAGAGAGAGAGGAAGCATCTTCAGTACCAAAGTCCGATTCACAGGCCAGGAGAGGCTTCAAGAGCAATTTAATTTACGAATTCCGCCAGACGGACGAGAAAGGCACTCGCGCCATTCACCAGAAATGCATACCTATGTACCTTTATATATATATACTTTTGCTCGTTGTCGCAGTTATCGCATCATATGATCATTCGACGTACGAATTCGACGTTACATGCATATCACACTCGCAGTATCGAGCGCAAAAAAACGGGAGAAACGTCACCGCAGTATATGCACGAAATCATCGGTGCTCTGAATTTTTCATGAACAAAAAAAAGAAAACAGAAAAAATACCTGCCGCGTGTCGTCGGGCAATTAAATCGAGGGTGCCACTATAGTATTATCATCATCATATGTCTCTATGTTTTGTAATAGTTGTCTACCCAGCTTTTGTTTCGTTTGTTTATTTATTTTTCTTTTTGTTGTTCCTCGACCAAATCTGCCGCGGCTACGATGATAATTAAGTGCACTTTTTTTTCAAAAAATTTGAGCAATTTTAACTTTTCCGCGATTCTGGGAACTAGTTTTTTCAATCACCACCGTCGATAACACACATTGGAAAAGAATCAGATCAACAGACTCTAGCTTGCTGTAGCGAATGAAAATCCAATTTTTTTTTCTTTTCCGTTTTGTTTTTAGAGTAAGCTCTCGGAATAATTGAAATTTGCGTCGATAACCCGACGGGGGGAGTGCGCTGGGTTTGCGTTTTTCGTCGAAGCGGTATGGCAAATTCCGCGAGCGTCTCTTTCATCGACCAATGCGGTTTCCGACAAATTGCACGCCTCTCTATACAATTAGGAAATTACGTCTCTTTCAGCTAATTTAATTGCCTTGCCCGAGTAATGTATGTGTATATGTAATCTTTCAATGAAAATTTTGCTTAATTCGATGTACACACATTTGCACCGCGTATTGGGATATCAAATCATGGATAATATCATTAAATAGACTAGTGACTATACACTCGTGGACTATATATAGTAAGACCGTTGTCTTTTTCAGAAGTAATATTTAACAGCACATCTAAATTGTTCACCAAATGAACTTTTACACGAGTCCTTCAAAAAAACAATGTACTTTACGGCTCGAAAATAATTTAAAATTTTAATTTTCCTATGTTTTTCAAACTAGTTCGATGTCATTCCCAAGGGAAACAAATTCCTTTGTTCCTTATCTCTGGCGCAAACATACCATTGCACAAAAACATCCCAGGCAACATTGAACAGCGTTCCCAAAGTTACATGCACTCGCATTCGATGACTCCGTTTTCAAAACTTTCGCCTCTTTTTTTTTTATTGTGTGTGGGTGTGTGAGCACACATATCCCGATAACACCCACGCGCCACGGATGTACGGAAACCTCGAATAAGCCGAGAAGGAGGAGGAGCCCTTTTTTTTTCCTTTGCTTTCCGGCGCACTTTGGAGGACACCAGCCAAAGACACTTTATCGCGCTATCACTATGATGTATATATACAAAGCCACCACAGAAGGGAGGAGGGGGGGGGGAATGGTATATGCGTCACTCGCTCGCGTGGAGTCTATGATAAGCTGCTGCTCTAGTCGCACGTTCTCGCACGTATTGATGAAATGAGGAAATAAAAATCAATCCTGCAACGCGTTTCTTTTTCCTCGTGTCGGTGATAAGAGGGCGAGTGCGAATTTTGTCTCCGAGCGGATGACGCAAAGGAAAGGTTTTTAGCGCTACGCGTATCAGGCGTGCTTTTCATACATGTTTTTCATGTGGTAGGAGGAAGTAAGAATTATACTAGTGTTTGTGAACTAGTCATGGTAAGGAGGGGACCTTTTCAATTGTCTTTGAATTCCATGTCTTTTGTAATAATGATAACCCACACAAAAACCCGTATCGCGAAAAAATACCGAGTTTTGTTAAGTGGGGAATCAATTTAACACGTGAAAATGAGAGTATCCATTAAGTTACACATAATTAAGAGTTACATTTATTTTTACTGTAAAATCAATGGTAACATTTGGATGCTACTTATCCCAAGTACTTTTTTATTTTTATTTATGTTTCAGAGGGAAATCGTGGCTGGTATCAGAGGTTGATATAATAGGGACCTCGTCGTACCACAATGACCTTACAATACCAATCTCCAACATCAGTCACGATTTCCTAGTAGACAAAAAATTTACCGTAGTGTACAGTAAAGTACGTAAATCTGTAAAAATGAATGTAACACCCTATTATTTTCGTGTAGCCACAACAATATTCCTACTATCGCGCGTCTCGAAAATAAAATTCAGTTCGAAAAATGCGTAGAAAATACTAGCAATGCTCTGTATTGACTTGGTAGTAGAGTGTGATAATGAGATGACGAGTCTAGGTATACGTGGTGTACTTAAGCGAGGGTGCAAGACAAATCATTGTTTGAATGTAGTTGTGTTGTTGTCGCAGGTCTGGAGCGGGTTGCAGAGGAGTTGATGGGCCGTAGGAGATGGAAGCAATACCAGGACACCCTGTACAGCAGCAGCAGCAGCAGCAACAACAACAGCGGCGGCACAAGTGGCACTCGCAGCAACGACACCACCTTGGCGCCTGCGGCCGCGAACCAGCAGCAACAGCTGCAAATCCAACTACAGCAGCTGGCTCAGGTTCGACTTACATATCCGTACTATGTGACTGTGCATGCCTACATGGGAATGATTTATGCCCAAGTTCAACAGTTAGGGGAGGGAGGGAGGGGGGTGTAAGACCTAAGATGGTCCTCATTACTTTCGCTACGAGAAAAAAAAAAAAAAAAAAAAAAAGTTTTGTTTTCTCTTTCTCTAGAGAGAGAAAAAAAAATCCCTTCTCTTTGTTCTCTCCCCCACGACAGCGAGTGAGAAGTCAGAGGTATCAGCTACCGTATACTTTTGATGTTGGTGCCTTTGTTTCCGACACTACTTTACGCTCAGCTCCAAGGAGGAGAGACGATGAACATGAAAAATTGATTTCATGGTATGAAGAAGAACGCAAGAGTTGACAAGATATATCATAAACCTGATTAGTTAACGGAAAAAAATTCCTGCTCAACAAGGTTTTCAACCTTTTTTTTGTAGTTAGATTTTAGGGGGACTTCCACTGACCCGACAAAAAATTCACATGACAAAACCCAGGCAGTAATGACCATGTAAAACCCCGCGTCGCGTAACAGGTGAAACCAGACGATTCGCCGAGCCAGTCGTTGAAGGCGTGTCTCGCATCGGCAACCAACTTCCAGCAACAGCAGCAGCAACAGAGAACAGCGGTGGCGGCGGGTGCACAAACCGCTGCCGCCGCTGCGAGCGCCGGCGCGACGACCAACTGCACGACAACGACCCCGACAAGTGGTACCTCGTCCTCGGTCGAGGCTGCTGGCGGTGGCTGCGGCTCGCCGAGGCCGGCCGAGGAGCAGCGCGCGCTGGCCCACCCGGTGGCCGGAGGCCCGGAGAACGGCCGGCTCGTGGAGAACGGCTCGCTCGCCGTGAACGGGCCCAGCTTGCACGAAGCGAACGACGAGCTGGTGCCCCAGCAGCTGCTGCTGCACTTGCAGCAACGCGACCTTGGCTTGACGGGAGCGGGCCACGTTTTCACAAAGGTCAAGTTAGACGCGGACGAGGAGATTGGCAGGAGGGCCGCGCCGGAGGAGGAGGAGGAGGTGGAAGAGCCGGGGGACGAAGTGGAGGCGAGCCAGAGGATCAAAAGGGAGAGGTTGGACGAGAGATTGGGGTTCAGTCCGGCGAGGGAGGACTGCAAGCTCAACGACACGAAAGGGACCAAGGTCGGTCGGTCTTTACCTTCGTTTATTTACATTGTTACTATTATTAGGGAGAGACCGATAGTCGCTTTAAATCTTTCTGGCGCTCTTTTTATCTACCAAACTTGGATTAGTTTACCATTATCACGTAGCTCACGTAGAATTTAGTACGTTCAGCGCATAAATTTTGGTCAAAATTTCAGACGCCAACTGGTCCCATTTACTGTCGTTCACAGGTTATTGTTTAACTTAAAATTGGGACTAAAAAATTAAAAAACCAATGTTTGCGGACCTACTCAATTTTCTAATGGATTTAACTGAGATACGGAACTTTGCATCAAATTCTCATGAATAATGATTTACTGTTCAATCGAAATGCCATTGTGGATAAATCATTAAATTAACACGTTGGTAAATTGGATGAACTAATGAAATATATTTATATCGATGAAATAACTTTACTCACCAACAGTCGATTTGCTTATTTCATCGTTGCGTTCATTATCCTTCCGTCAAACACGCACTCTTGGCTGCTAATAAATTTTGACGTTATTTCCATCCAAGACTTTTTTTGTCACTCTGCATCCCACCGTTTATACATGAATATTATATAGAGGTCCTCCTGAAACACACAATTTAGTAAGTACTGGAGCTAAAATTATTATTCAATGTAAAAAAAAAAAAAAATTACCAAATGACTTCAAAACAAACACGTTACTGTAACGAGAAAAAAAAAGCCAGGAGACATAAAAAAACTCATTTTTATTTTTCTTTATTACTTGAATATTATTTTCATACAATTTTTGATTTAATCGATAATTCATAAAAGAGAGCTTACGATGCTCGTACATAAATAAATCGAGATAATTGTCTTTGACCAATTAAGGTAAGCTTTAGCCAAAATTATCATTTGGCTGTGACTCAGATCTGTAATAGTTTGTATTGTTAAAGCTGTACATGAAACCGTTCACCTCCGCAATTTTTTTTTAATCTGATAGATTTGTTATACATTTTGAAGAAACTGAAAGTAACCAAGCCTTCTTTTTTTTTACACGTCGTCTTGTGTTTGTTTGTTTTTTGTTTTTTCCCCACTTTTTCTTTTCTTTAAATACTAAGATTAGACTAAAAATGAAATTTTTCGATCGCTTACTAATCAAAAAAACTACCATTCATACAGATATCACATTAAAAAAAATTCTACGACCCCTCAAGACTTTTGGAAAAAAAAATCAAAAAACAGCCTCAATGAGCCTTTTGCTAATAATTTTCCAGGAGATAAAAGAAGAGGCGCCAGTGGTACATGTAACACAAGGCTTGCTGAGAGTAAAGAAGGAGGAGGAGCTACAGGAAACGTGTTCGATCAGGCCATTGTCGACCCCGGTCAGTCACAATCACCATCCCCATCTCGCCCAGCATCATCATCATCACCACCACAACAACAACAACAACAACAGCAACAGCAGCAACAACAACGGCTTGGAACCGCGGAGCGCCTCGACACCACCGAAAAAGGAAATCGCATTCTGCTCACCCACGTTTTTATTGGGTCGACGGCAGAGCCCACCACCCGAAGATTGGAAGCCGCTCGACAAGTGCTACTTCTGCCTCGATGGCAAGCTGCCGCACGACGAGCAGGCGCCACTTGTGAGTTTTTTTTTTTTTTTCCTTTTTTTTTTTCGAACTAGGACTTTTGACGACTTAAAATTATTCGTTGGGAAAAGTCGGTTGTTTATAAAGCGGAGAGCTGATGAAAAATAGCTGTTTCGGCTCACTCGAGAAAAAACAGAGAGAACGTTGAAAATGAAATCATTTGAGGTTTTCTTTCCTAAACAGCATTAAAATATTTACAATGAAGAGACCGAAAAAAAAAAATACAAACATATTTTTGTTTGAATTAGCTGTTTTTTGTAGAATGATTTTAAAGTGTCTCTTTTTTTTAGTGGTTGACGCGTCATTGTTAGCATTAAATAAGATTAAGGACGTGAGAAATCGTTAAAATATCTTCATGGAAAAACAAACGTTATCTTACAAAGTTGCCATTTTCATGTATCTCGTTGGATTAAAAATAGAATATTTTTCGAGATAGCGAATTAATTACGGAACTATCCATACGAGCAATAAAGCTCACGTCTTCAATTATTTAATAATTTTTAATGGAAAAGTAAAATTTTCCATCCAATCTAAAATTTTGTGAATCTTTTCACCGATTGTTTGTACATTAACGAATCCAATGTATAAAACAGAGTCCACAAAGCGAGAGCAGCAATAGTTCGCGCTCGGCCGAGTCGCCGATGGCGGTGCAAGTGGACCCGATGGCCGCTTCGGTGGTCGCGGCTGCCCTCAGTGGCACCTACCCGACCCTTTTGCCCCAGTGGTGCTTACCACCCCAGGAACCGCCCCATGTTATCGCAGCCGTTGCCGCAGCAGCCGCCGCTGCCCAGCAGGAGAACGTGGGTGCCGACCAGCCACTCGACCTCTCGGCAAAGCCCAAAAATTCGCAGGTCAGGGTAAGAATCGATTAGAATACACATTTTTTTTTTCCCTTGAAAAAAATCTTTAATTCATCCGAATGTCTAAGGTAAAATAATAATGGTTATCGGCAAGAGGCGTATATGACGATTTTTAATTAAATTTTTTTTACTTCATTTTTTCAATGATTTTTAATTTATTTTAATAACGATTTTACGATAATTTTATTTTCAAGTACAAGAAGAATAATCAATTTTCATTTTTTTTCAACATCGTTTGTAGTTACCGTAAAAAAAGAAAAACCACATCGAACGTTAGCTGTTTATGATGTATGAATCAATTTTCAATTGTAACTAGTTGAGTATATAATTGTTGATACGACTTTTGGAACATCCTTTTTTAGCGTTAAATAGTGAAATTTACATTCTCTGTTTGCCTCTGGTGTACCAAGAATTTCGGGGTGATTTTACGAGATTTCAATACGTGTCTATTTGTAAATGATTTCAAAATTTTCAGACTGATTTTCATAAAGGGATTCCAAATAGCTCTTTGGCAATCGGAGTCACTTTCATAAAAATTGTCAAACAATGACCACAAATTTAAGTTTAGCTATTGTTTCGTGGTATTTATAATAATTCACGATGCGCTCACGAGGCGTTTATAGAAAACAAGTATTACCGACGTATGAAAAACAAATTAGTCTAAATTAAAAATAACTCACACGCGTACTGCGCGAAAAGGTCACTCTAGTTGACGCGAATGTCGTTCAACTCATCAAAGATATTTACAAAACAATTAAGAAGCTTGATTATAAAAATTAGCGCAGGTGCGCGGTTTATTGGTCGTTCCAGTAACCGCGGCCAAAAGCAATATTTTTGCAAGCACACGGTCGAGTTGAAAATTCGCGATCGACGACAAAAGAAGGAGAGAGAGAAAGCCAGCCAGGCTGTGACAATGGGTCGAGCCGGTAGTTCCACGAACGATAAGGCCGCTGAAATTTCAAGAATTCCGTAACGCAAACATTCGCCCGATTATTGTACCCCTTATCGCGCGGTGAACTCGCGTTAACGAGGTGTTGTTTTTTTTTCTTCGATCGCTCGAGTTTTCACCGAAATATTGTTGAATCACTATTATTATTTATTTATTTTTTTTTTTTTTCGTTGCAGGACAATAACATATCAATACTCGATCAGCAGAAGATACCGCTACGAATGGCGGCCGCCATCGACCCGAAAACCATATTCAAGTGAGTAACCTTTTTTCTTCTCATATTTTTTAACGACTAGTTCGCAACGTATAAAAATGCAGTCCATAGCGCAATAACAACTAACAGGGGTGCATGAGATCTATCAAACAATTAGAAAAAAAAGTTAATTAGTCTCGATTGAAAAACAGCACCAACGACAGTCGTACAAAGAGCTTCGGCTCTGTATAAGCATTGAGTCGATGTATTTTCTTAACGACTCGCGCATGATCCAGTCACTCGTTTCGAAATGTTAATGAGGTGAAAATCTTATAATGTACCTCGTGCCTGCTTGAAAAATTCCATGAAAAAACTTTAGTCATGATAGTCTTTGAAAATTGAATAAAAATTTTTAAGTTTCCTAAAGTACTTCACGCCAATTACAAGAAAAATCACAGTATTTCGATTTTTTTTGTACTTAAAGAAAAAAAAAAAAAAAAAAAAATGCTTAATTCAGCAACTACATTTTGACGTTATGGAAACTGCTGGTTCTTTATAATGTTTTAACTTAAAACTCAAGAACTACAGGACTTAATAAAAATAAAAATTTTTGTACAAAAAAGGTGAAAGATTTACACTGCAATGGACCAAAAATTATAGTGAAAAACAAAAAAAAATAATAATAATAAGAAAAGGCTACATCAAGAGTATACAAAATTTCATGTTCAGGCTTGAGGACAACAAATATATTATCCATTTTCAAACACTTACTGATACCATTAACAGTTTTTTTTGTTCTTTTGCCACGGACTTGACAAAATTTTTGTATAAAAAATATCGTTATAGAAGCTTCTTCTGTCAAATTGCTATCTCTTTTGCAAAACAGTGCTTTATTGTTGCCAAAAATAGTTTTGTCACAGTATCGATACACTTTGTATTTTGAAGAAAAAAAAAAAAAAAAAAAAAAAAACGAAAAAAACTCTGTCCGTAGTTCACCCTATCCAGAGGAGTCACGAAAACCCGAGCTTTTTCGCGGAATAGTGCACCTACGACAACAGGAGCCTCCCGTGGTAGCACCCTTATCCGATCGATCGGCAATGGAGCTCACCGGCCATATCACGACACCACGTGCTCGAGGATCCGCGTCACGAGCGCGCATTGTCGTTTCGATTGGCCGTTTGGCTATATGCGCATTATGAAAATTCATTGCCTCCTAATGATGGCACCCCTCTCTCTCTTCTCATGACTTCATCGCACGGTCTCCTCTCGACTCGCGCTTCTTACCGATGAATTGATTTTCCTTTAATTGGACGAGCGAGTCCATACACGTATAAATACGAGCGGGTAATCGTAGTAAGTGGGTAATCCAAGTTGGAGAAAGAAAAATACGTCCATGGCTATAGAATAATTTATTGCCGAGGGAGTGCATAACTCGGGAGGTAACGCCGACTTTCGTGAAATGGCGTTGTACGACAATAAAAGGAGAAAGAGCGAAATCTAGATGACAATAAGTCAAAAGCTGGAGGTCGGTGAATAATTAATGTCCAAGTGGTAATAGCCGGCTTGTCGAGCGTGAACGTTAACGTATGGACGAGTATCGATTGGTAGGTGTAGAGGGCTGGGGCAAAGTTTCGCGGATTCTCCACGTCGAAAGATTGTAGCTGGGTTTATTTCGATGCGACGGTACATTCTATATCTTTTGCCGTGGGATGACGATAATTGTTCCCCAATGTATTTATACAATACTTTTTTACCACGCAAAAGTTCTTAGGATTTTTTTCAACTTGAAAATTGTGTCGAGTACACCTGCACACGTATAGATTCACAAAGTATCCATTCATAATGAGCTCCGGTTAATTGAGTGACCCACAAATTCAAGTATATTGGAAAGATAATGAAATAAAAACAACAATGCATGTACAATCTGGCTAAACAAGCAATTAAGAAAAATGAGAGTCAAAGTACTCGAAAAAGTGTTTAAATGTGTTTTATTTTATTATCAATGCCTACTATGTGTTGCACTTAGGAAAATGTTTTTTCCGCCCTCGGGTGGTTTTGGGAGGCTGTTACTTCCTCGGGCGAAAAAGCAGTTTTCCGGAACTCGTTCGAAAAGTCTCCTTTACGAACCTCGTTACAGACCTCGCCTTCGGCTCGGGCCGCAAACGTCTCGGTTCGCAAACAGAGACTCTTCAAACTCGTAGGAAAACTACTATTTCTCACTGGGTATTTTACTGTGAATAGTGATGGATACAACAATAATCATTTTATTTAGTACAAAAAAAGTTTTAATAATTCTGCTTCAATCTGACAGCTAAATACACCTAAATACACCTACAGGGGAGCTTTTTAAGGCTGCCACTATGTATAATAAGTCATCGAACTATATCGTTATGTGCCTGTCGAAACGTTGAAAACAAACGAATTCGACAGCGTTGCCGCGTTGGCTGATTAATTCATAAAATCCCCGTGCCCTCGAGGTTGGGAAACCAAGTAGCAGAAGAACGTCGGTCGAGCAGAGCTTGCGATGATCACGCGGGACCGAGAAAAAGCGGGGGGCCTCTCAAGAGAAATCTGCGCTGGTTTCGCGACAACCCCTCCCTCTCTCTTGAGTTCGGAACTACTCTGCCGCGAGCGAATAAGGGAAAATTTTTTTCCCATCCGACGAGGGCCTTTGTCAGCGGTACTCTACGCGTGGAAACAATCGTTGGCACCCAACTGACAGCAAGAACAGCCTACTAGGCCTGGTGTTGGCTCGGATCGTGAAATTGTTAATTTTGTAACGTTGAAAATGCCTCAATTGTCGTTAATTTAGCAACACGAGTCACCTGTGATAAAAATAAATGTACAGTATTTCCACTATCGCAACGGTCAACGACCGGAAAATGCAGTTAAACAAGTGCTCGTTCCGGAATCGACGAGCCGCGACAAATTTTTCACAAGCACCTGTACTGACGTACTTATGAACCAACCCTCGCAGCCTTGGTCTCCAAAACCATCCTCAAGCGTTTTTTTTTTTTTTTTGGTCTCACCTGTACCCCAAAGTTACAAGGCCAAGCCTACATACTCCATCCCCCCTTGCAACAACCTGTCCTGATGCAATGGTGCTCTTACATACCATCAACGCATACGGACATGTATAATATATATATTCACCCCGCCTGTACACGTAAAAGAGTCGGCGATCCAGAGTAACATATAATTCCGTCCCGTTTGCAACCCTTATTGTTAACACCTTTATCCGATACGTATACGATAAATGATGATAAATGATGTACGAATGTAATGAAAATAAGTCGTGATAAACAATCCACTGTATTTGTATTCCGTATACGAGAAGGCACGCGCGCGTGTGTTTTTGTAATCTGCGATGCAGAGGCCGTACGTTGGGTGACGATGATGACGCCGCTGACTGTGTATAGGGGACACACAGAAGGGAGGTTTATGCACCCCTACCGCTACACAAGTAGGTACAACTCACGGTAACTCGTAATGCTGGGCGGGGGGGGGGAAGGGTCGACGAACTCGAGCTACACGTGTGCATACGTACGTATATGTATATACGTAAGTGGATGCACGTGAGGAGGAGGGAGTATATAGGAGGAGGCACGCATACGCGGGACAGCGGGGAAAAGAGGGCCGGCACGCGTGTACGGGCCGAACGAAGCGGCCTCGTCAAAACGGGAAAAGCGGCAGTGATGGGTAAAGACAGACCTTTGGTGCGTGCTAGCGAAAACTTGGACAAAACCAAGGGAATGTGCGGGGGGGGGGAGAAAAACCCTTCGACAAGTACCAATCTATTGGACTAAATCAGAAAGGTACCTGGTCTAGATTTATGGATGCCCCAAGTAGAATTTGTTACTTAAAGGTATCGAGGTATCGCTGCTGGAATTTGTCTGCTTTTTTCAGCTTCATATGGTTGGGTGATTGAGAAAAGTGGAAAGATAGTTTTCTTATCGGGACACGTTTTTTTTTTTCGCATTTCAGGATGATCTAACTTTTATTATCGGTTTTCCCGTTCCTTGGCTAGGTCGTTTGCTCGTAAACCCCGTGTCTGTTCTCGAATTAAGAATCACCGAAGCTGAGAAAAATAGCAATGTATGAAGTTTTAAATATTTATGAATCAATACTATGGGAAACTTACAAAAAAAAAAAAAAAATCGTACGACACTCCCAAAATGAATAAAAATAGTAGTTTTCCTACGAGATTGAAAAGTCTTTGTTTGCGAACCGAGAGGTTTGCGGCCCGAGCCGAAGGCGAGGGTCGTAACGAGGTTCGTAAAGGAGACTTTTCGAACGAGTTCTGGAAAACTGCTTTTTCGCCCGAGGAAGTACCAGCCTCCCAAAACCACCCGAGTGCGGAAAAAGATTTTTATTTTATCATCCCCGAGACTTGCGAACAAATGTGTTGGACCTCTTAAAAACAGGGTTCTTTTTTTCTTTGAAAATTCGCCGGAGCGTGTAAAAAAGATTTTTCGCGGTCGCTATAGTTTTGTTCCAACATGGTGTCACAGAGTAAGGAGTACGCGAGAACAGGAAAGGAGAATCACGTTTCAACGACGCGATCGCGATCAAGTTGCGTGAAAACGTGTACACGCACAAGCACCGATGGACGATTTATTTTTAATTGCCGAAAATCGTTCTCGAAACTTACGCACACGCGCCAAAACAAGTTGACAAACGGAGTACTTATATGCAGACACAGAAACTCGATTCGTCTCGAGGTGTATGTGGCGCACAGATCGCGGAGTTGTTTCCAAACAAAACGTTATCGCCTGAATTTCGACTCTCAACGCTGTGCAGGTATCGTGTGTTTGGTGCGCGCACCCGCGAAGGTGTCGTATTTTGCAGGGAAACGCGACCCCGAGGGGTACACCGTGACTTCTTGTTTACAAATTCGGGAGCCAAGTTTTTTTTTTTTTTCTCGATAACGACAGAAGCATATATTTTTAATTGAAATGGAAAAAAGTGGATAAGCGTAATGAGAAACAGATGACATTGTATACTAAATTGATAATGGAGGGCACTTTGTGGTGATTAAAAAGTCGCGCTCGATGGGTGATATCTGGTGCGTTTATTTATAATCGTTCCTCTTTACTTGCACTACGGTTAGTACTAGTACTTGAATTTAAATTTATTTTATTCATACAAGTGTAATTTTGTTTTTTTCAACAAAGTCCAAATGCCTCCTGTACTCGATACTACCCCACGTAAAAATGTTTACGTTTGGCCAAAATTTCGCCAAAGTTCATGTGGTCAACGTTTGGCCAAACTTCGGCCAAGCTTGGGCAATGAGAAAATCCCAAACTTGGATTTTCGTTGGAATATTTGACTCAATATTTTTTGTAAGTCTTATATGCAGACCAACTAATATACTAGAGCAACAAATTAATTTTTTAGACGTTTGGATGAACATTTGTTAAACTTGAGTCAAATATTCCAACAAAAATCCAAGTTTGGGATTTTCTTATTGCCCAAGCTTAGCCAAACGTTGGCCACATGAACTTTTGCGCAAGTTTGGCCAAACTTAAAAATTTTTACGCGGGATTTTACACATATTGCGGGATGCATCACAGCCTTGACCTTGAAATTAGTGCGCTCAAAAAATACCGAGAGGAAAATACCCACAAACGTGACTGTTGTACTTGTCTTTGGTGTGCACTATCGATTAACCAGCGCCAATTCGACACGTCTCGCAAGACCAGAATTCTTTGATAAATCATATCGTCATTTCAAAAATAACTCTTACTCAACAGTGATAAAAACAAAGTCCCATCTGCATGCCCTCAACTGGCCCTCCACTCTATAAGCATACAGAAACGTTTGGGCGCGTCCAGGCAATTTCGGCAAGACTCGCGAACACTGGACTATCATCGTCATCATCGTTATTACGTGCACACGCACGCACGGGCAAAAGGGAGGGAAGCTGCTGCATGTAGCGTGCCATGCACGGTGGAGTGGGCCAAAGCGAGAAAATTCGCTGCTGACGTGCATAGGTAGGCGGAGTTTGCGGATGTGTCTGATCGAATTTTGTCAGAGGAGCACGCGCGCGCTTCTGAACGATGCACGCGTTACTATACTTTGTTTAGGCTTCTCAGGAATGTATGAATAACTACTCGAGCGTTTTTGAAAACTTTTTTTTAAATAACGAGAACGAGAAATGATAAAAGTTACTGCGTGATTTTTCTATTAGCACTTGGGTTGCTACAATTGTTTGGATGAAGGATCGTTGGCGCGGTACGTGCACCTTGATATATACCTAGATGTATGATCAATTTTTGGAAAAACTATTTTGAATTCATCCACGCGTAATACATATACCTATATTATTTGTTTCGTTTTCTGCAGTTTTCTCTTCAAGTGCGCTTAGCACTCATACGGTGATAATGATCCAAGCAAGCAAGAGTCTGACTCAAATCGACTTCTACTACTTGTAGATGATTTTTTGTAAAATCAGTGTCTTTATTTACTAAACAGATGAATTTTAATAAGTACACTTAACTTATTTCGTACATTTATTGATCAAGTGTTTTGAACCATACAATTTTTTTTAAGTGAGTTTGGAAAACTGAGACTAGCATAACTTCAACGATTGAATCATGAGTACGATATCTACTGTATTTTTATTTTTATTGTATTTTCGTAAATACTGCATAAAAACTTGTATAATTAATGTATTTTCAAAACATAACATAATTAAAAGGTAGATAGAAGGTAGTCAGGTCAATTTTAAATAAGTGAAAGTTATAAGAAATTAGAACTAAGACTTCAATTGATTAGCTCTACTAAAATTTATTAAATATGGGACCTAGGTTATATAAAAATAAAACAGGGATAGTAACTAGTTTGAACTAACAGTGTGAAGGCTATCCTGATATTTAAGAATGCCAAAAGAATTTTCGTACCTTGTCTTTTGTGAACAGAGCCATCCAAGAAACCATGTCACGCTTATGCCTATATATCAAAGTGAAATTTGAAGCTCCTCGTACATGATTGTTTTTCACAATGTACTGGTCTAATGTCCCCACAAGCACTGTCAACAATAATAATGAACTCATACCTGTTGAGCGATTTTCATGTAGGCTTTAAGTAATATAAGTATCAGGCTTTGTTAAAAACCAGTAAAACACTTACCCAAATGAAACGATTTCCAAGTAAGGGACGCAAAATCTGGCCGATAACCTCTTGACATGTCAAGAATCTTGAACTAAAATGAAAAAGCAACTCTTAAGTATAGATCTCGAGTTACAAAATGCCAGATAACCATCATAACCTAAAACAACTTTACAGCAGTACGTGTTACCGGGCGAAGCCGCGTGTGGCGGGTGGACAGGTGACGGGCGGCTCAGGAGTGTCAGCAGCGACAGGCGGAGGTGGGCGTCGCACGTACACGGAGGACGAGCTGCAGGCAGCCCTGCGCGACATCCAGAGCGGAAAGCTGGGCACGAGGCGGGCAGCGGTGCTCTATGGCATACCCAGGAGTACCCTACGCAACAAGGTTTACAAGCTGGCGATGGAGCGCGAGCGGGACGCTAGTCTAGCCCAACAGACGGCTGCTGCTGCTGCTGCTGTTGTTGTTGTCAGCACGACCACCACGAACAGCAACAACAGCAACAACACCACCACCACCACCACCAACAATAATAGCACCACCAACAACAACAACAACAACAACAACAACAACACAAGTCCAACGATAAACACCGCGACACAATTGGTGACCGAGGTGGTGCAGGCGGCACAGCAGGCCAATTGTAGTAGTAGTAATAACGGGCCGGCTAGCTGCAGGTCGCTTATGGCCGAGGCGCAGGCCGCCGTCACGACCTCGTCCACCGTAATATCAAATACGATACGACAAAATTCGTCTATGAACAACAACAACAACAACAACAACAACAACAACAACAATTTTACCAGCACGAGCGCCAATGCTGTTCCGCTGACGCAAGTGGACGAGGTAGGTTTTGGGGACGTCACGCGTGTGAGATGATGTCTGATATGAGAGCTTGAGAATGCGTTAAGATGTAGACTTAAGTACGGAGAGCCTGGCAGTCTGTATACCTATTAATATAATCAAAATACCTAAAAGACCGTAAGAGTGATTGAACTTCAACCTTCAACGGCCTGTACAAGTATATTTATATAGACTGAACAGACTATACATCTCAACGCTGCACCTTTAAGGGTGTGTGTGTTCGATTTGCAACGTTCGTTCGTTCGCTCGTTTTGATTGAGCATGAGCCAATCATGGGGTGATTCGGTAAATAAGTACTTATCAGCGAACAGTGAACGATGAAAATCGAATGCTCCCGCAGAGAGAGAGAGAGAGAGAATGGACGTTGCGTTTTTCTTTTTTACATTAAGTATCTTATTTTATTATTTTAAGTTACGGCAAGCATATATATGTAGCGCGAACGATGGGTCTCCGTTTGCATTATACGTGATTATCGTTCTTTTTATTGAGTAAAAGAGAGGAAACGAGAAATTTTTTTTTTCCAATGAGAATGAATCGAAAAAAAAAAAAAAAAAAATCAAGAACTCGTTCGGAAAATAAATCTTTCTCGCCGATGTGAAATTTAAAATCAGCTGCCCCGCTAAATCAAGCGACGGCGGCCTCACCGCCATGTATACGTATATACAGAGCGCAAAAGAGAGAGAGAGAGAGCCCGAGTCTCCGCAATGCGGGCCGCCCGCAGCTGCCTGATATGGCCGCCTCTCCCTCCCTCTCCTCTCCTCTATTTATACACATACATCTGTATACGTGCAGCCACAAGGAGGACGGAGAGTTCGAAGCCCGCGTTCGTGTATCTATATATATGTGTACGCACACCCACGTNCTATACAAGAAAGTAAGTGAGGGGGGGTCGATAGGCCCAGGATCCAGAGATCTCCACAGATACTCACTAGATGGCGTAGTAGAAAGAAAGGCCGGGATTTAGGATTTTTTGGATTTTCTATATAATCTGGTGGTAAGTTTGATACTACTACACAATTAACACAATTGCGACATTAAATTGTACTCTAAGTACCATTTAAATAAATTTAAACTTTTTTAAAGCAGTTCAAAAATTTATTCTATTTGGTTAAAAATAATCTGTGTATTAAAAAAGAATATACGAATTTAGTAAAAATCATACGAAAAATCTTGAAAAAAGTGACATTTATTGAAATTTTAGTAGTGTACCCCTATAAAAACCTATGTTAAATTGTGGAGTTAAACAATTTTTTTCACGAAAATTCCTCTCGAAAAAATATTTAAAAAATTCATACGGACACATATCATGTTCTTAAACAAAACATGATTCTTTTTTATGTTATCTATTTATCTATTTTTTTTTTTTTTTTTTTTTGCTAGAACCTTCTTAAAACATGTGTATCTTATTGAATTTGGGTATCGAAGTTCCGATTTTTGTCGCAAAATGCACAAGAGAATATCGCTATTATTACTAATACCGGTGAATTGATCATCAGTGCCATCTGAAAGTACAGAAAACAGTGCCTGATTGTTCTCAAATAGAAATTCAAAAATTCAAAAATGTAGATTTTTGATACGGCATACCTTGGTCAAACTGATCGTACCGACAAGACTAGACCCACTGCAACTGAACATGATTTCGGACGCCATCTTGGCTCAAGTACAACCAGCGCTACCCCACACCCCAGTCAAGTTTTATGCGGAAAATAGATATGTATACATTGCTTTTGGTTTTTCCCGGTCCAACGTATTTAAGGGTTTGATTTTTGCAATTTTCGATTGGTTACAATAATTCGCGCGCAGGCACAGTAAAAGAAAAAGCCAAATTTTGTTTTCTTTGATTTAAGTGTGGTTTTGGATATAGGAAGAACGAATGAAGCTTCCCCAAAACATACCTCTAGGCCTCTAGCATAAACCAAATGACGATCGCACAATTCTCATGGTCCAAAAAGCGTTCTATTGGCTGCGTGGAGCATTATTATTATTATTATTATTATCATTATTATACGTTCTATGGTCCGAGGACGCAAATATAGATGACTGAATTGTACACCGAGAGAGACAGCAACTCTCCCAAACGAGCCTTGTATCTGGTATAGAAGTGTTGCTGTCTCTCCTAATATTTAATAATTCAGTCTTTTCCATATGCATGCCCTGTAGTCTGTACAATGTAATATCTTTGGCATGGAGTCGCTATAAGCATACGAACGATGTAAATTGATCATACATTGTACTTTTGAATTTGCAAGACTATGAGCCATGTGTCCAGATTACTACGAGAGGGAGATAACATACAATATTGCTTCTCACTCGCACTCCCACGAGCTTACTACAAGTTCAACATCACATGGTTACGTTTTTCAAAACTAACCATAACTTTTTTATTTTTCATTACTTTCTTTTTATTTTATTATTTAATTTTCAACACAAGTGACAACTTCTACGTAAATTGGATCTTGGTTTTTCTTGCGATCGTCATTTTTTATAGTAGTAATAACGGGCCGGCTAGCTGCAGGTCGCTTATGGCCGAGGCGCAGGCCGCCGTCACGACCTCGTCCACCGTAATATCAAATACGATACGACAAAATTCGTCTATGAACAACAACAACAACAACAACAACAACAACAACAACAATTTTACCAGCACGAGCGCCAATGCTGTTCCGCTGACGCAAGTGGACGAGGTAGGTTTTGGGGACGTCACGCGTGTGAGATGATGTCTGATATGAGAGCTTGAGAATGCGTTAAGATGTAGACTTAAGTACGGAGAGCCTGGCAGTCTGTATACCTATTAATATAATCAAAATACCTAAAAGACCGTAAGAGTGATTGAACTTCAACCTTCAACGGCCTGTACAAGTATATTTATATAGACTGAACAGACTATACATCTCAACGCTGCACCTTTAAGGGTGTGTGTGTTCGATTTGCAACGTTCGTTCGTTCGCTCGTTTTGATTGAGCATGAGCCAATCATGGGGTGATTCGGTAAATAAGTACTTATCAGCGAACAGTGAACGATGAAAATCGAATGCTCCCGCAGAGAGAGAGAGAGAGAGAATGGACGTTGCGTTTTTCTTTTTTACATTAAGTATCTTATTTTATTATTTTAAGTTACGGCAAGCATATATATGTAGCGCGAACGATGGGTCTCCGTTTGCATTATACGTGATTATCGTTCTTTTTATTGAGTAAAAGAGAGGAAACGAGAAATTTTTTTTTTCCAATGAGAATGAATCGAAAAAAAAAAAAAAAAAAATCAAGAACTCGTTCGGAAAATAAATCTTTCTCGCCGATGTGAAATTTAAAATCAGCTGCCCCGCTAAATCAAGCGACGGNATTTTTGTACTGAAAAGGGAATTTTTTTTCAACTTTTAGTATTCTTAAAATTAAAAATATTCAGTTTTTTTAAAGAGACAGATAGTAGACCATAAAAATAGTACCAATACCAAAGTAAACTATTATTTATTAATACAAAAATTTCTCATTTAATAACATTTTTCCTTTCGAATGGAATCGTATTAAATTTAAAAAAAAGCATCTTTCTATTTTACGAAAAATTTTTTTTAACGCTTACAATAAAACGTAACACAAATATTTATATTTAGTCAGATTTCACTCGAAAAGTGTGTCACAAACCGAGGTAACGCATTGAGAACGAAAAAAATTTTAATTCTCGTAAAAACTGACTTATAAAAAATGTATGCACTCTAGTAAACAACAAACTGTTAGGTAAGAGCAACCTCCGTTCGTTGATACTAAATAAAATAACTCGAACCACTAATCACCACTTAACACCAAAAACCCAAAAAAATTTTAAATCAAATAATCAGTCCGTGACTTTTTAGGTAGTTCCATGAGAGAATGATTTCCAAATTTCAAAAATAAACAGATCGATGCGGTACAATACAAAGGTGTTTCATGAACTGGTAATTTTTCTTTTCAAACGTTCATCACATAAAAAAAAGTATCTTAAACAGTTTAGATTTTTATACGATTATAATTTTCGCTAGACATGCGTAACTCTTTGAACCGTTTTTACGATAAAATTTTGGACACGTTAACTGTTTCCCAGTAATTTTTTACGAAGAATTTCAATGAACAAAAAACTCCATTGACTTACAATTTGGAAAATTTAGCCTATACACCTTGTATCTACGAATCGTGGATCTCTTCATTGCGTGACTTCAACGTACATGACAACTAAAAATTAAAAAAACAAGACTCTCTCTCATGGAACCACCTAAAAAAAAATTCGCTCGGACAAAGTATCGTTTCCGTTCTTATGCATTTTCTACATGCGTCGACCAAGAAAAATAACCAATAAACAAACCCTGGGCGAGCTTAGGTGGACGAGAAAGATCTGTCGGGCGCCGAGGAGGAGAAGGAGGTGGAGAAGGCTCTACTGAAGCCACTGCTATCGCTCGAAGATCTAGTGAGATTTTCCAGCCTCGAAAGTGGTGGTGGCGAGTCACTGAGGGCACTATTGCAACGTGGGGCACACGAGGCAGCTGCCGGTGGTGCCCCCGAATGGACCTCGGCGTTCGAGCACTCCAACATCGGGCCCTACTTACAAAAAATGCTCGCTGCCACTGCACCGTTTAAAGGTCAGTTACAACAATGGGTTTTCTTTATCCTTTTTTTAGAAAAATTTGAAAATAATTACTTACTTTTTGTTGCTACATTTCGGATTATCCTTCGGTAACTAAAGTTTTCGAATCAGAGAAAAATTCTTTACTCCAAGGATTAAGTTGGTTTGGAATTAATCTCATACAATTGAATAAAAAATTTGTTGGGAAAAAAAAGAGTTACTTTTTTTTTTGATTCAAGATAAAAAAAAATTAAATTACGTTTAACAGCACATATTATGTAAAGATGTTCTCTTCGATTCAAAGACAGAATAATAATAAAAAAATATAACCATTCCATTAAAACCATAATCTTCACTTTCGTACCAACAATACACGCACGATTTCTTCTGAAATTCAATTCCACGGAAACAACTTCGTAACGTCTCATTAAAATTAAATACAGAAACTAGCAGCGACAGTTCGCCTCTGATGTTTGCAAATACGAGTAAAACAGATAATTATTCGCATCGATGCCCGCTGCCTCGAAAATTTCCGTACATTATAGCTCCCAAGTTTCCAGGTTTCAATTCGTAATGCATTAGTAGTACAACTTACATCATACTTATGTAGCCAGAAAAGTCGGTACAGCACGTAAATAAAGTTGGAAAAAGTAGAAAAGAAAAATTGGGTCAGTTCCGCGCGTATTGCTTATCTCTACGATTTTCCGACTTTAACGTTTGGTGTAGATTATATTATACAAACGTATATATAGTGTGCGTGAGTAACGAAAGTTCCAAAAGGCAGCAGCGCGAGAGGGGCACATATAACTCTCTTTTCCCTATAAACCCCTCTCAAAAGACGCACAGGTTGAAGTTGGTGTTCTTCTACTTTGTTCCAACCTTTCACGAGCCTCAACCACCCTCGCCCCCCTCAATTGCATCTACGCGAATTTTTCTAATTTTTCCAATGCTATTTATGATGGGAGATTTTCAAAAATACTTGTAGTTGAGGCTTGCAATTTTACTTTTCTTTCTACAATCCTAAGCTTCATATGTATTTTCTACGTCGAAGCTTTGGTTTAAAATTGTATTATCTGAGTTGGATACATTAAAATGCGCTACCGATTTTTATGACACCATGTGTTCATCTCTTAGAATCTTTTTCGATGCAGGTTTAATACAGATGTTCATTGAAGACCTTCAAGTTGTGAGAAACTAATCAAGGATGAAAGACGCAAACTCTTAGCGTCATCTAAAAATATCCAATAAAGAAGTTTCGTTTTAACATAACCTCACGTCCCTCCCACGTCCTCTTAGTACTACATAATTATACGAATATCACGAAACGCAAATGTAGAGTACACATAGAGCAAATGTCGTAGATTAGGTACAATTTATCAGATGATGGATTGGATCCTAACCTAGCGCTTTTTTATTGTCTTTTTACTTTTCAAGAAAATCATATATATATATAATCGCTTCCAAAATAACATCGCTAACATTACTTTGCTGCTTTAAATACCTTATAGACCACGAAATAAAATAAAAACTCGATATATCTCCATAGGAATGGTGTCGCAGGACTACAGAATACCAGAGGTCATGCACCGGCTAATGTGCGAGGAAAAAAAGCTGAACAAGGATACGAACATCGTGAATGGCGACCAGGTACAACACCTTCAACACGTCACGCTTCTCCACCGACTCTCTCAGGTATACAAACACTAACCAACTAGTTCCCCCCCCCTTCTCCCTCCTCCACCGATATAATCTGCCAGTAATATTGTCACAGTCGAACCAACAACGAGTCTCGCTGAATAATGACGACTTCAACCCTATGATCGAGGACGATGCAAGCGACAGCGGCCAGGGCCGGCCAATCCTCAAGATTCCGTCCTACAAGCCAGCCAGTAGCAGCGGCGGTGGTGGTGGTGGCGCGACGACACCCGGCCCCAGCAAAAACGGACCCGAATCGGCAGCTGCCAGCTTCGCCCAGAGCTTCGTGGCAAACGCCAGTCCCGGTCTTCTCGAGCGTGTCAGTCCCGCCACCGCGTTCTCCGGCACGAGCTCGCCCACCAACTCGCTCGTTGGCAAAGCCATGCCCGTTAACTTCCGCGACGTCATCGCCAAGAGCATCAGCGTCAAGTTCCAGGAGGGCCAGCAGCAGCAGCATACTCCCCTTTCTGGCAAGCAAAGAACGCTCAGTCTTGGCGAAAAGGAGGACCGACATAACATGCCTAATAATGCATTTTTCCCGTACAGGCCCGGGAACGGCCCAGTCACTGATCGTCGAGCCAAGCCCGTATAAGCGCGGTCGCTTCACACCACCCACGCATCAGCAATCGGCTGCTCAACAGGTGTCGACGGGCAACCAGTCGTCGCTCGGTCACAAGGCGTCGGTCCAATCGCAGGACAAGAATCAGAACAAGCAGAGCGCGGGGGGCAAGGGCACGAGACCGAAACGCGGCAAGTATCGCAATTACGACCGAGACAGTCTGGTCGAGGCGGTCAGGGCCGTGCAAAGGGGAGAGATGAGTGTGCATAGGGCAGGCAGCTACTACGGCGTGCCGCATTCGACGCTTGAGTACAAGGTCAAGGAGCGGCATCTCATGAGGCCGAGAAAGAGGTGTGTAGAGATAGTGTTTCGTTGGTGGTGATACTGTTTCGATCGTGATGATGATGATTGTTTTGCTGTCGTTGCCAGGGATCAGAAGCAACCGGACGACAAGTCGAAGGAAGGTGGTACGGGCTCGACAGCTCTGCGTACAAGCGGAGGGCCAACGGGAACGAACGCAACCGCGGACAAGAAGGCTCCGGTGACACTGCTCAAACCTCAACAGAAGCCATTTGGTAGCTCGGCGGCGGCAGCAGCAGCAGCAGCAGCCACGGGGGGCATGCCAGTGTCCAATGGCCTCAAAATGCCACCCTTCATGGACGGCATGACCGCCCACTTACCCTTCGCACACCCATTCAACTTTTGGGGTCCTGCTCCTTTTATGCCAGCGCCTTTCATACCCGGTGGGCCCAACGTGCCTCCCGCGGCTATCCTCCAGACCGAGCAGTATTTCGCGTCGCAACGGATGCGAGGTCTTCAGGAACAGCAGCAGCGTAACGCCCGGGATGGCACGCTATCAGAGCAGCCAGGTATATATCTATCTACTACTACTTCTGTACTTGAATATACGAACAAAAGGATGAGTCAGACTTTAGACTAATTTTTTATTTGTCTATTGCCAGCGCCACTACAATCGAAAGTATAAAACAAAAACCCGAACCTAATGAAATTTACAGGTACATCAAACGCACGGGGTACCTCGTTGATGAAATCACCACGGGACATGAGCGAGAGCGGTAGCCAGTACGAGGGTAACAGTCCAGTCTCAGCAGCGGCGGTGGCTGCAGCGGCAGCAAATGGAAGCTTTCTCGATAACCTAATAAGGTCGAGTCTGGAATCAAGTATGCCGCGCGACCGCACAACCGGTGCGCCACCACAAACCCAACCGGAAAACCTGGGTAGCAAAGTCCTAATAGACCAGCTGTGCAGAAACTCGAGGCGGACGCCTTTACCCCGCCTGATGCAACAGGACAGTAGCGAAGACGAGGCGCCGACGAATTATCGAGTACAAACGCCGCAGCAACAGAGGCCGTTGCCAGAGCGACCAGAGCGCGTACCTACCGTTGATCTGAGTCCTTCGCCCTCCGAAAGGGCCAGAGCTACGGATGAGGGTAGCGATCGGGGATTGGCGTCGCCACCGACGCCGCTCTCCCTGTCCAGGCTCAGTGGATCTGGTAGGGATGACGAGACCACCAGAGATTCTAGGAGTAGCCGCGAACGCGAGGTAAATAAATGCTCCCAAGTGTTACGTTATATTACATAAGTATTTTTTATATTAGTTTTTTCTTTTTCTATCGTGGAAAGATTGCGGTGGTGGTTATTCATGTATACCTTTCGACAAGAAGAGTTTCAGGGTTCTTAGTAATGGATGATAAGGATCAAAATTTATCATCTTATTTAGAAAAATATATGAAAAAAGCCATATTAATAGGCTTAGTCGCTTTGTTTCAAAGCTTATACTGTTGATTTTTAAGTAGGTATAAATATATAAATACTTATTGTGTTTATTTTCATCCGCTATTGATTGATTGATACTTTACAGAGTTATTTTTATTATTGGAAAAAAAAAATAAAATAAAAAATAAAACTAAAATGGAACGTTGAAAAAAAGAAAAATCTTTGGAATTTATAGCTCTAATTCGAAAGTTACTGAAATCCGACATTAACTTTGTCGTTGTTTTGAGACCTCTGAAAGTTCCGAACGGATACTTCAAGTAACAAACGTTAGTTACCCTTACCCTTAAAACGTATTCTTATAAGCGAGGCACCACTATTGTGATATAATCAAGATAAAGGCTCTAGAGACGTAATCGATGTTCATCAGTGTGTTTCGATAGTTCGTTACAACATCGAAACAGCGGATAATTGGAGTCTACTTAGGATGATTCCTTCGAAGTCATCTTATGGTGGGCAAGTTTTGTCGTGATCATCCTGATACTGAAGCTACTTGAATGTTTCGAAATAACGACATGCATCTCCTAAAATTTGTTTCGAACCATTATTCAGAACCCTGAAATTTTTCTTAGGAGCCTATAACTAAATGCATCATTTACATACACGTACGGTACATTTAACATAATGCTTGTAATGCGTTCTCACATTTTATCTCATGATAGAAATATTTCAAACAGTTTTTTATACGTATATCATTACTCATTAAATGTTGAAAAAAAATTTTTTGCTTTTTTTCGTACAGTACTCACACTTTGAAGTTGTAAGCCACCTCGGGCAATCTTTGTGAAAAGAAACATATACTTACCTGTAATAATAACTTGATGAGCACTAATATTTCCGTAATACGTAGTGAACATGAGAATCTATACAATTTTTCTTAAGTACTGGCTAACTTTCAGTGGTGAAATCTTCATTTACTATTTTTCTGTAGGTAGTTTCACGATTAGAGACTGTAATGACTTCTGTGGGACACAACGGTGATAGTTAAGGGTACGGCTATTTCATTGATGTTCGGATCCTATAACTCTCACCCACGCTTCTATATTCCATATACAATTCTCTATCGTCTATTTCTCCCTCTCGCCCCCATACACATATACATTATCCTTACCTGTGATGAATGTGAACTTTGGCCATGATAATCATGATGAATGATTGACAATCATCCCGCAACGAATTACACGCAAAATTGTTATACGATCCGAACGCTTAACATGAAAAAAAAAACCTGATTGCAAATGAGATATCTAACGTGCCCGATCGACCTCTTTTTGACGGCAAACATACAGGTAACAAACGGTGGAGGCAGCGACAAATCCGATGATCGCACGCAGGACTCGAGCAGTAACAGTAGCGGCAACAACACGACGAAGCTGAACCACTTCCCGGACATGAAGCAGCAGCAGCAGCAGCAGAACCTTTATGCCGCGTCAACTGACAAAAAAAGTGCCTGTGATAGTAAGCTTATAGTAGATCAATCGAGCCAGAAGACTCAGCAAGCTAGCAGCGTCAAGGACTACGTTGGCGGTGATTACGCCAACAACGGCGGCATGAACGGCCCATCGTCGACGAGCCCGGCGTCCCAGCAGGCTATCTCCTCGTCACCGTCGCCACCGAGTCCTTCCCGCTCGCCCGAGACGATGATGGCCATCGACGAGTCGGTAGAACAGTAGGGCAGTTTACAAAATGAAAAGATAAAGACAAACAAAGAAAAGGATGATTAACAGTTTTAATTATAATTGTAATAATATATAAGCGAGGGATTATGCGAACAAGGGATCGGGAGGTTGAAGGGTGGCGACAGCTCGCGCGAAGAGCGTCATCTTCGATCGAACGTATGTTGTTATTTAACCATACACACGTGGGAGGAGTAAAAGCGGCGGACGATACGAAAAGGGTATACTGCGCATGTTATACGCTTAAAAATTAGCTTAAGGAGATCGACGAGGGATTAAATACGATGTAGGAAAAAAAAGGCTAAGAGGCGGCCCATGAAGCTAGGATGTTTTCTAAAAAAAAAGGAATGAATAAATAAATAAGAAAGCGAGTTGTATAATCGATGAAACTAAACGCGCGTAGTTTTCATATACACATGTATACATACACATCGAAACACTCGACGTTTTTCGACTGTTAGATAGAGAGAGAGAGAGGGGGGGGGGGGAAGAACGCGCGAGGTTTCGATACAACCTAGCGGTACAAAAAAACACATGTTTATCGAAACACACGTGAGAACTCGCACATATCGTGCATCTCACATTCAAGCCCGTTGACCTGTATGACTTTATACGTGGATTCATGCCCAATATGAGTGTGATATCTAGTATGGTAATTGGGCCACGATCTTTGGTCCTGAAATTATTAATATTATTTTTTTTTTTTTTCCATTGAAACCTAATTCCAACATCATACATTCCTTTATCTATTTGTCTGTTGTAACTGTATCATTATTCTTTACTATCTCTCGATTAAGTTATCCGAAAATTAATATTAAAACCTCCCCGTTAAACTTACTGATAACCTAATGTGTACCAATTATTGATGAAATCATGTTAAGAAAATATGAAAATGCAGAGTACAATAGATCGTTACTATTTATATTTACATGCCATTTTGTGATCGAATGCATATCAAATTGCTTATTTGATCTGTCACAAGCTTTCTATTTTGTCACCAGTGCACTACTGAATTTCTATCAAAAGTCAGACATTAATAATCAGACAAAATCTCGAGTATGAAATAATATAAGTATTTGTGCATGAAACATCGTATTTCATACACATGATTTCATAGTAACGAACAAACGTACGATGTACAATAATTCAGTACGACTCTAACAGTAAATATAAGTCGCGTTTCACAGGCTCGCGAGTGTGAAGAAAGAACTCAGTTGTAGTTTCGCTTTGATCTCGTCGAAGCTGCGTGGAATAACATAACCTAAAAAAAGTGGTAAAGTAAGAACACAAGAGCAAGATAGATTGCAAAGAGACGATTAAACGAATAAAAGAATAGTACTCGAGACGATTCAACAAAAACAAAAAAAATCAAGCAAAAATGTGAAAGAAAAAAATTGGACGAAACACAAAGTGTTTTTTTCAAAAATCTTACACTGTGTTTTGTCAAAAATCTTACACTAACGAGCTAACATACCCACACTTTGGAAAAGGAGATATTTACACTGATAATACACTTAAATACACATATAAAGACACAAACAAAAACATATTAAGTATAAGAAAAAATCTCAAAGTCTAAAACACCCGCGCGAGACTGCATGACCCTGTTCGAACATACTCTAAACAAAAACCCCCTTTGATTTGAATAAATAATAAATCATATATGTGATTTGTAAGGAAATTCCCATCTAAATGATAATGANATAAAGTTTTAATTAAAAAAAAAAAAATTTTACTTTTATGTTTACTGGGAGCACAGTAATTTTTTAACTTACGAATTGAATTCGTCATCGAAACTCAATCAAAAGCACGCATGTTTAATTTGAAGGCGAAAAATGCAACCAGTTCTTGTCCGAAATTTGAGTACAGTTAATGATTTGTGTTGCCGAAACCAGTGCTGATTAAAATTATCATTGAGTCCAAATAACATAAGAAATCCTATAATTTAATTAAGAAATTACATCATATAAAGAAAATTTTATTACTCTAATTTCAACTGAAAATAGAATATTTTCAACTGAAGATACAAAATTTTTTCACTTTTTTTCGAAAGCTCAAAGCCCTTCAAGATATTGTTATCAATCATGACAACGGGAATTTTTTTAATTGAACACTATACTCAATTTTTAAGAAATGAACGAAAAATATTCCAGACAAAATATTTCTCATTTTGACGAGAAACTGTGGATTGCGTTTGAAGCTCGTTCTCTGATAATTTTTGAGGTAGCTATTTCTATTTAGGATAATCAATAATAAAAAAAAGGGAAACTAAAAATAAGAAAAAATTTAGCGCCGATACTATCAATCACGAATAAGTTGGCGCTTTAATTGTTTTCGTACTGCGTTTTTTCTATGTGCACTCTGTCGTTTCAAGCCTAAACGCTTCGACATCTCACCTCGACTTTTCTTTTTCCGAAAATTATTAATATTACCTCATATTTTTTTTACATCGATCTTGAAGCTGTCAGTGTCATACTATTACAAAGAAAGAAAAAACAGCGATAAAAAACATTAGGAGAACGAAAAATAGGGTTACTCACCGAACTGTTTCTTATTAACTGTAATTATCGATATATAGTGGTTTCGTCGTATGAAAAAATTTAAAAAGACTGCGATAACTATGGAAGGTAAAAAAGGGGTTTTCAAACAAACGAGCGCAACTTATTTTTTTGTCTATCACTGTAAAAGAAAAAAACCTCACCTAACCTCAAAGGATTGAAAAAAAAGAACTTAAAACTAAACAAAAACTATTAAACACTACTTTTAACGTTTAAGGAGGCAACGTAAATATTGATAAGAATGAAATATTATATATACATATACATACATATATTTTTGGTCATTAAAAAAATAAGAAGAGGTGAGTGGAAAGGTGAAAAAAAAGAAAAAAAAATTATGAAACTAAAGAAGCGTGGATGCTAGTCTAGTCTTTTTGTTGCTGGTGGTGCATCGATGAGCATGATTTTTTCTTTCTACAAAATGACAATATTCTCTGAATATCTCAGTTTCTTCAGTCCAACGACGTTTCAAAGTGATAACGAAAAACTTATGGCAGATGTAGACTACCCTGGGACTGGAGTAGAAAACGGGGCAAGCGTAAAATCAAGATAATGGTGAAGGGAGATAAGCCCAAGGAACTTTTTTATACCAGAATAATCAGCGAATTTTCTATGATAGCTACAAACTCCTTTTTACCGCAGTAAAAAAAAAATAGCCATTAAAATCCCTGTGGCTACCCCTTCTCGCCCGTCGGATGATCGTCAATCTTCTAGCATGGATATTGAAATTGCTACTGAAAAGATTTCAAAATGGTTCATCTTTAGCGTATAGAGGTGATTGGAAAAGCGAAATACGGATGTATAACTCGACACCTGAGCCAACGGAGTTTTCGAAATATTTCAGAGTGAAATTTTTCTAAAAAAAGTAATTACTTTCTCGTCCAATTCAGTATAGTTTTTAAAGGTAAGAAAAAAAGAAAATTTGAGTCTAAGATTAAATACTGCATCCTGAATTTTCAAGTTCCTGAAGTGCAGGTCTATATGACCAGTACATCATCCATAAAGTTACTGGAGAAAGAAAAACGAAAAAAAAAAAAAAAAAAAAAAAAAAAAATTGATTCCTTTGAGCTCGATTCGACTATAGGTGTTATCTTTAGCGTCCGAGGATGAGTTTGGCAAAAGAATTTTGTTGAAGTATGATGACGACATGGAATTAAGAAGATAATTTTCTGAGTCGTGACTCCGACATGTTGGTGAGTGGGCATAATGGATGGTAAATGAGGACAAAAGCTTCAACCATAGTAATCAAAATCAGGATGATGAAAACAAGAGAATTAGAAGTACAAGAATAGTGTTTTTTTTTTTTTTTTTTTTTTCTTGTTAAAGGCCAGCTAAATTTTTTAAAAACCACGCACTCATCTGGACTCTTATTCGACTGAAACTTTTTAGGCTGTAAATAAACTTTAAGCATGTGTGTTCGATGTCTAAACAAAAATTGCAAACATTTCATTGTAAAAGAATATTTATGGAAAAAAAAGTAAAAATTATTGTACACGAAAAAAAAAACCACGTAAAATGACGTATAAATGGCAAAGCTAATCTCTTGGTGTTTTTTTGGAAATCTAAACTTTAAATAAACAAATTTAATCGTACGACAGTTGATAATAGCTCAGTGCGCGAGTTAATTTTAAGTGTGTAATGGTTTATTGCAGTAACCAAACTTTTTAGGCTATTAAGATTCAAAAGTATATTAAAAAAGACTTTCTTGTGGTTTTAAATGAATCATATAAGGGAACATTATATATTTAATAAATAACTAAAATTATTAAGATGTGTGGGTACATCAGTAAAGTGAAGAAGCAGTTTACGTGTATAAGCATCGCCTAATTAAAAATACAAATTTCAAGAACTTTCAAGTAGACGTTCTGCAGATGAAAAGATGTTTCAGAAAATGTTTTGAAAGTAGTGTGGATATAGTAATCGTTATTTTAAGTTTTACTCACACCCAACTCTTTTGAAAACTTCTACGTCCCATCACAATTTCAGAAAACGAAGTATATCCCTATATAGAAATATGCATTTATGCATGTTATTTTACATGAAGCATGAATAAGTTGAGAGATCAATTGAGAAACTAAAGATCATATTTTAATTAAAAAATTCATAATTCCAAAAGAAGCAGTGATCGTTTTTAAGTACAAGAATTTTGAATGAAATACAACTAATGGAATTTACTAAAAAGTCCGACAAAAAAATAAATATCAAGATTATTTATGTTTCATGGAAAAGTATATCAATATTTTAGAACTCTGAAAAATTCAAAATGGTTTTCCATTTTTTTTTTTTTTTTTTTTCTAAAACACTTAATTCCTACAGATTAATTTATAAAACCTAAGAACCAACTCTGTTTTCCTAAGATTCATCTCGTATAAAACAAACAAATTTATTGTTGAATGTGAAAAAAATTAATTATATATTACTATGTACAAACAAATCTATCGCTATTGATCGTCGTTTTCAAACATAAATTAAAAATAAAAAAAGTTTCGATCAAGGCACTCACTGCGTTCGCTGAAACATTTAAATCTAAGGTATAAGATACGGCTAGGGTATAAGAAATTATCTTTGAAACTTGTCCAGAAGCGCTTTATTAAAGCTCTTCAAGTCGTGGTAGAGTTAAAAAGAAATTGGTATACGATAACACATTTCTTGTATCGTCAAATCAATCTGATCCTTGTGTCTTGCAACTTTCAAATCACGTTGTAAAAAATCTTCTCTCATTACAGTAAAATCGATATTTTTATAAAAAATTAGGAAACCGACGTTAAAATATTAATGGTAGTTTTCCTACGAGTTTGAAAAGTCTTTGTTTGCGAACCGAGAGGTTTGCGGCCCGAGCCGAAGGCGAGGGTCGTAACGAGGTTCGTAAAGGAGACTTTTCGAACGAGTTCCGGAAAACTGCTTTTTCGCCCGAGGAAGTACCAGCCTTCCAAAACCACCCGAGGGCGGAAAGATTTTTTTTTATACTCCAAATACATTTGAAACAAATATATAAAAAAAATAACATAAGAAATCCTATAATTTAATTAAGAAAAAATCAATTGCAAGTCATGAGGACCACATTGATAAGATAAATTTGAGTTTCTATTTTCAAAGAAAGAAACAAATCGTGGCTCTTTTTCTAGAGGAAGGCTCGTGCATAACGGCCCTTCGACTTTCCCTCTGGCTTACTTTTCTCACACAAACTTCACGAGTCTTCCTACGATTTCGACCCCTGACTCGTTCGTTATTTTTTGAATCTATTAATGAAAAAGTAAAAAAGACGAAAGGTGATAAAAATGGTGAAATAATAATAATAATAAAAAAAAGATAATTATACTTTTAGGAAAATTAAATTAGTTGTTAAACATACTTAATGCGTAAGTATAATTAATTAATTGTGTAATTAGATACCACAAAGTTGCCTTTGAATGCGTGATTTTTTGATAATTTAAAGTGGAAACTCGAAGTGTTCTCAAGATTGTATAAAGATTTTATTATTGTATTTAACAAATAATGACTTATCAATCGTGTGTGTACTTTATAAGCTGTAGCACCGAGTTCATGCACGTAAAATCAAAAGAAACAAAAACTAAATATGTAATAAAAAAGTGATGGGTGAAACACCGTGACTGAGAAATCGTTGGAAGACTAGCCTAATTGTATTGTAAAAGAAAATTTTCATGTTTAAAGAGGGAAAGTTGAAGTTAAAATAGCTCGTTACCTTCACACGACGAGAGGAAAAGAGTGGGATGAAGTACGATGAAAAAAAAAAAATAATAAAAAAAATGGTATGCAAAAAACGGAATAGGGAAGAAAAAAAACTGAAATTTTTAAAATATAAAAAAGGTAAAAACGTGGAGATAAATAAATATATTATATAAAATGGAACGTTG